AAAGATTTATGTACTAAAGAATTATGTAATGAATTATGTAATAAAAACAGATGAATTTGTATTCTAATCTAATCTAAAAGTAATTATATGGTACTAGGTGATGTTTTTAACTTATAAAAGTTGATATCTGAGTTTTGTCATATATCTCTCATATTATTTTCAGTTATGTTTCCTTGATAATTTTTCTTTTTATTAATTTTTTTGAGAGAGAGAGAGAGACAGAGCATGAGTGGGAGAGGAGCATAGAGAGAAAGAGGGAGACACAGAATCTGAAGCAGGCTCCAGGCTCTGAGCTGTCAGCATAGAGCCCGATGCAGGGCTTGAGTTCAGGAACCACGAGATCATGACCTGAGCTGAAGTCAGATGCTTAACCAACTGAACCACCAAGGTACCCCGATAATTTCTTTTTTAAAAAAACTACTTGTTCACCAGACTGCTCAATTTTCCTTATTCTTTTTTTTAAATAGTGTATTTTATGAATCTTATTTTTGTTCTATTAATGGTTATCTATAAATTCATTTTTAATTGCATTTATTTTATGAAATATCAAGAGGAAATACACACACACACATATAGTTGTACCTTGTTATTTGCAACCTATGTAAAATTAGAGTCCTGGTATAGTTTCTTCTACCCTCTCACCTGTCCCTGGACCCTCTTCGAAGCACTTACTTTTTGTCTTATAGGGCAAACTTTGCATTTTCTCAATGATTATTTTTCCAGATAAGGGATCAAACTGGATACAAGATAGAGCACTGGCTACTTTTGAAAGATGGTCACAGCAGGAAAGGTTACAGATTTCTTACTTACAGTTACAGTAACTGCTAATTTTCAGAGTTTCCGTGTCTGAGTAGGTAGATAGAACTGTCTTTGTCCTTCATCCTATCCAATTGCATCCTATCCACCCAAGGCATTACCTCTACTTAGATAAGTCTATGTATATCAAAACCTCAGTTATCTGTGTCTATAAGGAGACTCTCGGGGGGTTGACAGGTGGGGGGAAACATGGTAGGGAGGAAGTTCACTACTGAATTGAGTACCTTCTTTCACGAGATTATTAGAGTACTCTGAAATCAGGATCTATCTCTTCTGTAACTGAATCCGACTCTCCTAATTTGGAAATTGTTGTGGCCCCGACCCTCCTTCACTGATCAAGCCATCTGCCTCAAGGGAAATCAGGTGAATCACATAGTGAGTCTTCCACAGTGGGTCACCGCTGTAGCTCCTTACGTCCTTTGATTTGACATTCATTGACTATCACATGCTCTTATCTTGGTCTTAGCCTCTTGTGTTACAACTTTGATATTTGTTTTTAAAAAGAGAAAGAGAGGTTGAGTGCACGCACAAGCTGGGGAGGGTCCGAGGAAGCAGGGAAGAAGCAGAGAGAGAGAGAGAGAGAGAGAGAGAATCCTAAGCAGGCTCCATGCTCTGCACGGAGCCCAATGGAGGACTTGCTCCCAAGACCCTGGGATCATGACCTGAGCTGAAATCAAGAGTCGCACACTCAACCAACTGAGACACTCTGGTGGCCCTGAAGATTTAGAGGGCTCTATTTGTGGAATTTCATATCACTTTCACAGCAGCATGATTATACTCATGGTTAATCATAGACAAGTCTGCATTTCTTTTACTCTGATGTCATCTGCCTTATATTTTGCAGAAAAAAAATTTTTAATTTAGTTTAAAATTTAAAATTTAGTTTCAGGAAATGTATAGATGGTTCTTATTTTTTAAAAAGTCTTTCTCTGGGCAGTTAGTGAAATCTTGGAGGGAAGGAAGTGACATAAAAAGATCAGCTCAAATGCCCAGGTTGAAATGGATGTCAAATTGCACTTGACTCTAGAGTAAAATAAACCTTATTACTAATACATGCAATGTTTTATCTTTATTCTAGGTTGCAATCTTCCTGTGGCCTAGAGCAAGAATTCTTCTTTCTCTATTAAATTAGAGTATATTTCTTGTATTCTCCACAAAGATACAAAAATTACATGCTTTCACATTTTAAAACATGGTAGGCAATTAAATATGAACACAGGACAACGGCAATTAAAACATCTAGGTTAAAAATGTATTGCCAGAGCATATGGATACAACGTTTAAGCCAAGCTAGCTCATTTATTTTAATCACTATCACAAAACTTTAAAGAATAACTACGTCATAAAGCTCAAATGTGAGGATTCTCCCTTCTATCAGTAGCCAATTCTATGATTATTTGGAGATGTGCTAATTAATTTTGCTCTGGCCTCTAAAGACCAGTATTAGTGAACTATATATGAATTTAATTAATGGGGCGCCTGGGTGGCGCAGTCGGTTAAGCGTCCGACTTCAGCCAGGTCATGATCTCGCGGTCCGTGAGTTCAAGCCCCGCGTCAGGCTCTGGGCTGATGGCTCAGAGCCTGGAGCCTGTTTCCGATTCTGTGTCTCCCTCTCTCTCTGCCCCTCCCCCGTTCATGCTCTGTCTCTCTCTGTCCCAAAAATAAAATAAACGTTGAAAAAAAAAATGTCCATATAAAATATATTATCCATATCTCTAAAAGTACAAAATCATTTTAAACAATAATGAAGCACCCTACTTCAGTTTTTTTTTCTCAATTTTTATTTAGAAAGTTCAGTGAAACAACATATCACAGTTTAGAAATATCTTAATCTCACTATAATTTACACTTAAAAATTTAGTAAGTTTTGATTTTCAACAATAAAATTTATAAAAATAATTTTACATTTATAAAATGAATCATTATTTCACAATAAATTATTCATATTTACCACCTGAAAAAGTTTTGTGCTATATAAAAGCAATAAGTTTCATTATCAATATTTTGAAAATACGCTGAAAACTTCAGTTCCTCTTTGTCCAGCATTTTTGGCAGTTAAGTATACAAAAATATTATATTAAAAATTCCCTGACCATAGTTATTAAAACAAAATCGTTAGCAATAATTTCTAAAACAAAGCTGTTTAGTAAATATATGCAGATAAGTTAAAGGGTTCACTAAAAATGAATTTTTTTAATATCTACTAAAAGAACAGCACAACAAGTAAAACAGAAACCTACAAAAGTATTTGTTATTTATAAAGATCAAAAGCATTCTTATACATGAAATTGAGACGCTAGAGTCAATTTCCAAAAAATAAGAGTGAAGTAAACTTTCCTCTTCCCTCACTCACTCTCAAAGATATATTTTACAGTTTTCAGGTACCAGCTACTAAAGGAATTTTGAATTTATTAAATCCATTATAGCTTCCAATTAACCATTTTTCTACACTGACTTAATAAGTTAGTTAATATTAACAGAACCTTTTTTATTCGTAGGGTAAATGGGGGGTTATGAAATCTTAGAAATTTTGAGAGATTCTGTAAAAATCAGTTAATTTAGTCTCTTACAAGTTGGGACACTATTTTTTGTATCACTCATAATTACTCAGTAATATTTCCTTGCTTCTGTGTGCGTGTGTGTGTGTGTGTGTGTGTGTGATAGAGAAAGAGAGTGAGAGAGATCACTATTTCTTGAGGTGGCCCATCATGCATTGTTTTCAAATACACTTCAGCTTTAGATGATATCAAATAGGGCTCCAATGAACTGTACTCCTCAGTCCACTGGATTTTTGAAAATCCGCTGAGCCAGTGATTTGCATTTGTGTTTTCATCATAACCTATCTGGTATGTCTTTTATTTCCTTTAATTTGTTTTAAGGTTTTGTTTTGTGTTTTTGTCATGTTTTTTTGTTTTTTGTTTTGGGGGGAAGACATTAAAGCGACAACAGTGGTTTCTTATTCATGCTGCAACAAATTTACACTCATTGATTACATGTAAATATGTGTTACAGGTAACAAGATGGGCTGGATTCAGTCATCACATCAACTGCATATATTTAAAAACCATAGTAAGAAGCTCACATTTTTCATTCCACACCAGATTTATTCTCCTTAGAATCAAGCAGATCTGGTCGTCAAGGTGGCTGTCCTGCTCTTCAGGTTTACAAACTTCAGTTATGTACTTCAACCCTCCAAGCAATAGGTTTCTTCATTTATAAGTGAAAGACAATAATACCTCTCTTACGGGGTTGCCGTGAGGATTGAGACACTGTGTGTGTGACAATGGCCATTTTGTCTCCCAATATCAGCCTCCCAGAGTGGTGCCGTTTTAGTTGGCACAAGGCTTATCACCTAAAGACTGCTCTTGCAGGGTCCCTGGGAACTAGAGGCAGGCATATGCTAAAATTCAAGTCAATGGATGACTACCAGATTGTTTTAGGAGAGAGAAGGCAGGGTTTCTCTTGGTCGAGCCACTGTGTTAAGGGTTTCCTTTTTTACCATTTATCCTGTATCTTAATTGGTAAAACAAACATGTTTTATGTTAAAATACATCTTCAAATATAGGCAGGATTACAAGGAATAGCCAGTCAGCCTTGGCATGACTATAATTTTCTAAGCTTAAGATAGAGGTGTATTTAACTGTGGGCCAAAAAGATGCTTCTTAGCCACTGGATATCCACAAGTGATTCTTCAAATAAATATTTCCTATTTTATAGCAACTGCTTTATTTTTCTAACTTGCAAGTTTGAAATTAATAAAAAAAAATGGTTCATTTTACACTGATCTGGAATTGCTGATCTACCTACCATTCTTAGTCACAAAAGAACACTCAGTTCTGCATCACATCACAATGAAGCAATTATTTACAGATTTAAATTAATATCGAGACAACAAATGAAAGTAGTACATAAGATTCAACTGGTTCCAGAGCAGTGCAAGGGAAGTTGGAAAAATACACTATACAAACATATTGAAACTCAGATATGCATTATTTGCATCTGAAAGTTTTAAACAATAGCAACAACAAACAAAATGAGCATATAAACAAGAAAAGAGGATACCATCTTACAACAGCACCATGAAGAAGCCTTGGCTAAGAGTTTGCCAAAAGTACTATCCTGAGTTATTTTAAGACCAACAAGTTTTCACATTTACGCAGTGCCATTCAGGAGTAAACATATTCTCACAATTGCTTTTGTTTGGAGAGAGGCTGGTGTGAAATCACTGAAGCTTGGTTTGCGGCTATTTTGTACTGTTCTTGTCCAGAGCCTTGTGGTGGGGAAGGGAGTGGGGTCTCAGGAGTTGCTAAAAAAAGAATCAGAGAATTGTATGTGATGGTGACAGTCACCCTGGCCCGGCCTAGTAAGCCCTGCATGACACCCATATGCATTATTCCACTTTGGAGATATTATCATATATATGAAGATCATATATAAAGTATGATTATCTAATCCGTTATGAGCTCACTGAGGTGCTATTGGAGTTGCACTGCCCTCTTCCCTCCCAGATAGCATCCAAACGGAATAGAGATGCTTAAACGTCTTCATAGTCACTCAACAGTCACATACTGTCTTTCTTAATAGCATTTATGAGCATTTGATTCTCTCACAAACCCAGCAGAAAAAAAGTTAATGAAGAGTATGAACAGAATGCCAGGTTGTTGTTTTTTTTTCAAATCTTTGAAAACAACTGTACAATTTTTAGAACGAAAAATGCACATAAAATATATTTGGTTTGGATTCCACTGACTCAAACATAATAGACAACATAAAAAGTTAAGACATTTTGCAAGTGCTTTGAAACCTATATCGGAATTAAAAACATCTGAAAAATACTGGCATTTTGCTTCAAAATTATTCTATTACAGTTGAGCTCACCCATCCCTTCCTCATCAAAGAGCAAGCCCAAGTAATTGAAAAAAGAAGTTACAGTGTGAATACTTCATTGTCTAGAATAGTATTTCCTCCTATTGCAAACTTTTACTATATTATAAAATAATCTGGGAGCTATCTTAGATTTTTAATTTTTTTAAAACTTGAAATATTTTAATATTCACATTGATTTTAATTCCATATTTTACAGAACGAATAGAAAATGTTTGATAATCAGCCTGAGGCACTGCAAACTGTATAGACTTTTTTTTCAAAATAGCTTTTAAAAATTGATACAAAAATAAGAACACTTCCTTTTTGCCTGATCTTTCACATATTGACTTTATATTATTAAATATGGTTGGAAACAACAATTTACATACAGTTTAATTAACAAAAGAATAACCATATTTGCTTTAAAAATTTTTTTTCTGGATATTTGGGATGAATCTAAGACTGCCAGGACCTGCTCTAAAAGGCCAGGAAAATACACATGAACTTAAATTTATTTTGTGTGTATGTGTAATGTTTTGTTTTGCATAAAATATAAACTCTTCCAAATAGGTGCTAACAGAGGAAATTTTTCCTTTACAAATGGATTCTCATAAATATTATGTTGAAAGAGGTAAAATAAAAATGAGAAATGTGATGTGATTTTAAATAGACTAGGGTCAGCAAATATGCTTTTAAAAGTACTAGTTGGGGCGCCTGGGTGGCGCAGTCGGTTAAGCGTCCGACTTCAGCCAGGTCACGATCTCGCGGTCCGTGAGTTCGAGCCCCGCATCAGGCTCTGGGCTGATGGCTCGGAGCCTGGAGCCTGTTTCCGATTCTGTGTCTCCCTCTCTCTCTGCCCCTCCCCCGTTCATGCTCTGTCTCTCTCTGTCCCAAAAATAAATAAACGTTTAAAAAAAAAAAAAAAAGTACTAGAAAATTAACATTTAAAAAGTACAAGATTCAACCACCAGCAGAATTGTTAAACGTTCTTGCCAGCCAATGCCTATAATGTTTAATATGTTGTTAAAGTGTTTTGTTTTCTGGGTTTATGAATAACTAATCCCTAAGAGAGATGACGTTGGACTTGCCCTGTCTGCTCTTGACTATGAAAGGAACATGGTAACATTTGCTTTCCAAGGATGGTCCCAAATTGATGTCTTTCAAACACATTTCAAGTTCTGTTTCCATAATATGAGTTATGTTTTAACAATTTTATTTCTGCCTTTATCATGTAATCAAAGAACTTTGTGTTTCAGACACTATTTACACATAGGTTTACCAGGGGCTGTATCTAAAAGGCAACAGGGATAAAACCCATTTCTGTGGCCTCCCCTTTCCCTACACAACTAGGTAGCAGTCAGGTGGTACTCACTAAATTGTCACATTTGTTTGAACACTTCCATGAAACCACACTGTAATTAGTTACTGAGGGCTACTGTAAATTCAGTAGGTAATACAGACACACATAATAATTATATCACAATAACTCAAGGAATCTCAGTGAGTTAGCTGGTTTAGTGTTAAGAGGAGATAGATCAATGGTAAGTGTGGGAATACTAAGTATAAACTCAGAAACAATCCTAGGTATTTTGTCAAATACAGATTTTTATCTCTGGAGTAGCTTATGAAAAATAGAATTTTTGTTAAATCTGCAACATTATCATATTAACTTTGCTACTAACCCCTACTACTTATGTAATCATTTTAGTTCCAAAGTGTTTTCCCAGTGGCCCTCACTTTGCACAAATCTGACATGCACGGATTTCAGTTAGTACAGCTTGGATAAATAGCACCAGTCTGGCAAAAACATGGCTCAAATTTCATTTAGCATGGTAACTCACAATTAACTGTGAGTAACTGCATAAATACAAACTTCACTGCTAACTCTTCGGTCTACATGAATCACCTCAGTAACAGATGTGTATTGTGATCAGTAACCAATCACATCACATCTTTAAGTCTGTCTGGGATGTCACTGAACATATTTTATTCAGTTCATGTACTGACAACTAAGTGTGTAGTTGTGTTGCCTCCTCATCTCCTAGTGATAAATTCTCATGACATCTTGCAAAAAAAATGGACAATTAAAACAGAATTGGCAAAAATAAATAAAAGAAAAGAAGCAAAAAGTGACAATGCAGGAAGTGAATGGAACATGGATGGAGCTGCAGAAGAAATAGTTCCCCTGGGAATGCAGACACTGCTGCTCTTTGAGTCTCTAAATCTGCATTCTGTGAAATCTTGCTGTTTGCAATAACGTGGATGGAGCTAGAGTGTGTTATGCTAAGTGAAATAAGCCAATCAGAGAAAGACAAATACCATATGATTTCATTCATATGTGGAGTTTACGAAACAAAACAGATGAACATATAACATGGGAAAGTGGGGGGGAAGAGAAGAGAGGGAAACAAATCACAGGAGACTCTTAATGATAGAGAACAAACTGAGGGTTGATGGGGGGTGGGGACATGGCTAGAAGGGTGATAGTACTAAAAAGGGCACTTGTGATGAGCACTGGGTTTTGTGTGTAAGTGAGGAATTACTGAATTCTACTCCTGAAACCAATACTGCACTGTATGTTCACTGAAATTTAAATTAAAACAATAAAAATAAATCTGCATTCTGGGTCTTAGTGAAGGTAAAGTGATGGACATTAGTGAAAAAACTTCACATTAAATAATTTCTCAGAGATATTTTAGACATGGAAATTGCGAAGGGTAAAATCTTGGAAGCTGATCCAAACTTCCCAAAAGAGTAAAATTCATCAAGGCATAGAAAAGATGCTCACTTCCACTTGCAATTTAGAACAGAGGAAAGCAGGACGCACTGTTGAAACTATACTTCATAATTTTTTTACATATTTTTAAAAAATGTTTTTTTATTTATTCTGAGAGAGAAAGAGGGGACACAAAAGGGGAGGGGCAGAGAGAGAGGGAGAGGGAGAATCCCAAGCAGGCTTCACGCTGTCAGCACAGAGCCTGACGTGGGGCTCAAGAGTCAGACGCTTAACCAACTGAGCCATCCAGGCACTCCTTCTTGATAATTTTTTAACAAACAAACAAACAAACAAACAAACAAAAACATGTGAATTCTCATTGTATCTAATGCTTACATTACAGTGTCTTAAATAGATATTAGGATTATTATTATTCAGCTTCACTATAGAGTTACAACCTGTAGTTAGGAGAGTTCTTAATGTTTCAGCAAACACTTTTATTTATTCATTTTTAAATGTTTATTTTAAGATAGAGAGAGAAAGGGAGAAAGCATGAGCATTCACACACACACACACACACACACGTGAGAACAGGGTAGGGACAGAGAGAGAGAGGGAGAGAGAGGATCGCAATCAGGCTCCGTGCTGTCAGTGCAGAGTCCAACATGGGGCTTGATCTCACAAACCATGAGATCGTGACCTGAGCTGAAACCAAGAGTCTGATGCTTAACCAACTGAGCCACCCAGCCACCCCGGCAAACATTTTTAAAGGTCACAATCAACTATAATTTTCCTATTGATTATTAAGATTTCCTTGCACGCTTCCAGCTTGCACAGTCCTTTTCACAGCCCTGCACTACCAGGCCAAACCAGGACTGCCTGTACATTCTGTTTTATGCACTCACATCCAATTTTAGGGAGCAAACTCATGATCCCTAGGAGAACAAGGACTTGCTGAATATCACAATCTCCCACAGTGGAGTCCTACAGAGGAAACTGCACCTAAATTTTGCTATTGCTGAGTACTGATAGATTCTTTCCCCAAATTCCACTTTTTCTTAATTAAGTTCAAAAAATATTATGGTTGGCAAAATACTTACAGATCTGGTCTGTATGAACCAGTGTTGACATGGGACCTAAAAGTATAGTTTGTCCGGTTAATGGATCTTGAGACAAATGTGGGTGCACCGGATGATGGAGATGGCTGGCGTCACTGGAAGCACCTACAGAAGATAAAAAGATGCTTGCGTTAGTGACATTTAATCAGCGACAGCAAGTTTACCTTGCAACACATGCTTTGATTGACAGCTTGAATATTGCTATTTTTGCAAAGTGCTTTTTGGGATTTCAAAAATAAATTAATAGAACTGCTGCCATATTAAGGACAATGTCAGCTTTCACTGTGCATTGGCTAGATTAATGTTGTATCATGTTATGTTGTATATTAATAATGGACCTTGTGTGCTGTTTCCTGGAATCATTAGGTTTGCTGCCTGTTGTTAAGGCAATTCCAAGAATCACTTACCTCAAGTTTATAGTATTTGGGATCACACTAATAGCATAAACAACTTTTATGTCAGAAAGATGTCATTAGAAACACATTAAGCACCAGAAAACTAAAACTAAACTAAACTAAAATAAAATAAAGTGATTTTACAAGGAAATTTAATTTAGATCAGAACACAAAATAAATGATTTCTTAACTTATTCCTGACATTTATTGCAGCAATGAAATCTCATTTTTCCCTTCTCATTGTGTTATGTCAATTAATTATTTCAGGAGCAAAGTGTTTAGTTTTAAGGTATTTACTAGAAATATTTTTAGGTTCTGTTGCAATGCTGGTATCCTTGAGCTTTTAAAGGAGTCATGGCATAGAAAAATATAATACACCCCTAGGAGTCCTAAAAATAGAAAATCCATTTCTATTCACCATATTTGAAAGGATAGAAACTGAGGCAAGAAGAACTGCGGGGGACAAAGATGGCAGAGACTAGTAAGAATGAGGATTTCAATATGTTCAAGTATTTTTGTCTCCATCAAATGGGTTTTGGAGACTTTCTAAATGTTAAAAAAAAAAAAAAAAATGAATCCACTATGTCACAGACAAAATATAAATAGATTCTGCTCCAGAAACCAATACTACCTATGTATGCTAACTAACTTGAATTCAAATAAATAAAATAAAATAGAAAAACTTGGAAGAAGATAAACAAACAAACAAACAAGTCAACCTATTACAGACTGCAATGCTAATAAATAATAAATTCTTAAATGTACTCACCACCTAGTAACATTTCCTGAAGTAAGTTGTCAATTTTAACCATCCCAAAAAGTTTAACGAATTGTATTTGCTCAATCATTTGCCAGGTGATGCTCTGCAGCGTGGGCAGGAGCAAGAGCAGCTCTCCAAACCTCCCCCGGGAGTCATATTGCCTGTCATTGATGTAGTCCTCCAAACTGAGCTGCACTTGGAACCGCATGTTCTTAATCTTTACCGGGTCGCTTAGCCCTTTCGCATCTAAGAAAGGAAGAAAAGGGGCAATCTAAGAGATCGCATCTTGCTAGAGTGTGAGAGAAAATATTCCAATATTAAATAATGGTTAATTTTCATTTTAATTGTTGTTTAATGGAAATCTGAAAACAAACCTGGATCAAAAAATACAATTGCCTTCAAACAAGCATATTCATTGTCATCAATCTGAATTTCTTGAAATGGTCGTACCAACTCGTCTAGAACCCGGTTGGCCACGCGGCTGATCTCAATTTCACTGCTGTTGCGGTGAATTACGTAGTTGTTTCCTAGGAGGAAAAAAAAAAGATCAGCACACCCCAACAAAAGATTGTCGGATATGATTTAAGTTTTCTTTTTTTTTTTTTTTTTAATTTTTTTCAACGCTTATTTATTTTTGGGACAGAGAGAGACAGAGCATGAACGGGAGGGGCAGAGAGAGAGGGAGACAGAATCGAAACAGGTTCAGGCTCTGAGCTATCAGTTCAGAGCCCCATCGGGCTCGAGAGATCCCCACGGTATCGACGGACCGCGGAGATCGTGACCTGAAGGGAAGTCGGATGCTTAATCAACTGGGCAGGCTTCCAGTTTTCATAAATAAATATTTTAAACGATTCTTCCCTTGAAGGAATAGGAATAGTACTTTCTTTCAGTAGTGGATTGGAAGAATAAATATTGTTAAAATGTCAATACTGCAAAGCTCTCTACACATTCAATGCAATCCCAATCAAATTGCACCAGCATTCTTCTCAAAGCTAGAAAAGGCAATCCTAAAATTTGTATGGAACCACAAAAGACCCCGAATAGCCAAAGTAATTTTGAAGAAGAAGACCAAAGCTGGAGGCATCACAATCCCAGACTTTAGCTCTACTACAGTTAACACAAGACATATAATGGTATTGGCACAAAACATAGACCAATGGAATAGAATAGAAACTCAGAATTGGGACCCACAAAAAGTATGGCCAACTAATCTTTGACAAAGTTAGAAGGAATATCCAATGGAAAAAAGAGCTTTTAACAAATGAAAAGGAGAACTGGACAGCAAAGATGCAGAAGGATGAAATTAGACCAATTTCTTACACCATTCACAAAAAAATAAACTCAAATGGATAAAGGACCTGAATGTGAGACAGGAAATCATCAAAAAACCCTAGAGAAGAAAGCAGGAGAAAACCTCTCTGACCTCAGCCACATCAATTTCTTACTTGACACATCCCCAAAGGCAAGGAATTAAAAGCAAGAACTATGGGGACCTCTATCAAGATGAAAAAGCACTGCCAAGGAAACAAATGAAGAAAACTAAAAGGCAACCGACGGAATGGGAAGATATTTGTAAAATACATACCAGGCAAAGGGCCAGTATCCGGCAAATTCATAAAGAACCCACAAAACTCCAAATAATTCAAAAACAAATAATCCAGTGAAGAAAAAAGGCGAAGACATGAATAATAGACATCAAAGAAGACATCCAGATGGCCAACAGGCACATAACAAGATGCTCAAATATCACTGTCATCAGGGAAATCAAACCATACTCAGATACCACCTCACGCCCAGTCAGAGTGGCTAAAATGAACAAATCAGGAGACTTATAGTGATACTGGAGAGGATGTGGGAGAAACGGAACCGCCTTGCACTGTTGGTGGAATGCAAACTTATGCAGCCGTCAAGCTTCAACAAAGTGTGGAGGTTCCTCAAAAAAATTAAAACAGATTCTATGACCCAGCAATAGCACTGCTAGGGAATTTGGGATACAGGAGTAAAGATGCATAGGGGCACTTGTTCTGTCACAGCACTTTCAACAATAGCCAAATTATGGAAAAGAGCCCAAATATCCATCAACTGATGAATGGGAAGAAATTGTGGTTTATATACAATGGAATACTATGGCAACAGGAAAGAATGAAATATATCTTTTGTAGCAACGTGGGATGGAACTGGAGAGTGTTATGTCAGAGGAATAAGCCATACAGAGAAAGATGATGCTCATATGTTTTCACTCTTATATGGATCCTGAGAAACTAACAGAAGACCATCATGGGGGGAGGGAAGGGAAAAAAAAAGGTTAGAGAGGGAGGGAGCCATAACATAAGAGACTTTAAAAACTGAGAACAATCTGAGGGTTGATGGGGGGTGGGAGGGAGGGGAGGGTGGGTGATGGGTATTGAGGAGGGCACCTGTTGGGATGAGCACTGGGTGTTGTATGGAAACCAGTTTGACAATAAATTTCATATTAAAAAAAAAAAGAAAGAAAAACTTAAGAACACGTCAAGGATAAATGACATTGATAATATGATCACATGCATTTTAACAGACTCAGTCACTAGTGATAACACGAAAGTGCAGACTAATAACAAGCTAATAATTGACAGGAGAGAAACAAAATATAATGATTACCCTTCCACTATGTCAGTTATCTATTAGTGTCTTAATCATTAATGAGTGTAACAAAAAACCTAAAGAAACTTTCTTGCTTACAGTGGATAAAAAGAGGACTCCTTTAGTAGTCTAGGTATATGTAGGTGTAACAACTTTTGAAACACAACTTTAACAGGCCTAAGTAGATGAATTCAAGAAAGTTCAGAAATTGAACAGAGACTAGACTCCCTAATCCCTAAGGATGCTCCAATTTAGAATGTCTCTGGCTGTATGTGACAAATAGTATAGCTTCGAAAATATTAGAAACTAGAAGTTATTAGAGCTCCTAAGATAACAGCTAAATTGTTATTTTCTGATTTTATAAGAAGTCAATATTCTGAATTCTTTCATTGCAGGCAAAGACAATCTTCAGTGTAACAACATGTAAAAAGATCTAAAAAAATATAGACTTGCTCTTATGAAAAGTTAGTTTACCTAATTATTCAGGGTAAAACAATTTAGAAATAGGTAGCAAATACATTTGAGTTTTTAAGTATACTGTATTCAATCTATAATGAGAGCAGTATTATAGCAGTCTTATAAATGCAGGAGAGTGTTTAATAGAATCTAAGAGCATGGTCTCTGCAGTCACATTATGTGGTTTAGAATCCTGGCTCTATCCCTTACTAGCTTTGTGACCTTAAGTTAACTTTCTCTGCCTGCATTTCTTCACCTGCAGAATAAAAGTACGTACCTATCCCTTAGGGTTATCATGAGAATTAAATGAGATAGCATGTATTTATATGTAAAGCACTTAGAGAATGCATCTTGCATAGTAAGTCCTATGCAAGATGTAAGTAAGATATTAGCTATATCTATTATATTAGCTATATCATATTATATGTGAAAAATATATCATATTTTATTTATTCCTATTTTGGGTTAAAATATCTAACACAAAGACATATTGAGCAATCTAGTCATCATTTCACACAGCCAGAGAGAAGTGGAGATAACAATCATTACAGCCATCTCAACTCTCTCAACAGGAAAACTAATTTTAAAAGGTAAGTAAGGTGGGTGGATGGAAGCAATTGCTTAAGGAAGACAAAAGCTTTCCCTTGTGTCTTCTTCCCCCATTCAACCTGCCATCCTACTTTGTCTCTTCCAGCACTACTACTTAACTATCAGGATTTTCAGACATAGTCACCAAATAATTTTTTTAACTTGGGATTTTGCATCATATCATAGGCAATGAGATCACAGGAAATAGACATGTTCCTTGGAAGTGTATAAAACAAGTTACAAGTATTAAGCAGCCACTGAAGGAGTTGGAAACAACACTGAGACTCCAATAAAGTGGTCACATAAATCACCAGTTATTTGTCCTGATAGGATTTAAAGATACTTCATTATTATGTTTATTGAGCAACATTTCTCTTTTATTTTTAAATCTTTTCCCTCCAGTTTTATTGAGAAATAATTGACATACATCACTGTATAAGTTTAAGAAGGACAGCATGACGGTTTGATTTGCATATATTGTGAGATGATTACCATGATAGGTTCAATTAATGTCCATCTTCTCATGGATACAACGAAAACAGAAGGAAAAAAATCCCCTTGTAATGAAAATGCTTAGAATTTACACTCTTAACAATGTCCACACATATTATACTGCAAGTGTTAGCTCTAGTCATCATGTTGTACATCATATCCATAGTATTTATTTGACTTGTAACTGGAAGTTTGTACCTTTTATTTTTTTAATTTTTTTTTAACGTTTTATTTATTTTTGAGACAGAGAGAGACAGAGCATGAACGGGGGAGGGGCAGAGAGAGAGGGAGACACAGAATCGGAAGCAGGCTACAGGCTCCAAGCTCTGAGCCATCAGCCCAGAGCCCAACGCGGGGCTCGAACTCATGGACCGCGAGATCGTGACCTGAGCTGAAGTCGGACGCTTAACCGACTGAGCCACCCAGGCGCCCCTCCAACTTATATTTTTAAAAAATTTTCATGTTTATTTATGAGAGAGAGAGTCAAAGTGTGAGAGAGGAAGGGGAAGAGAGAGAGGGAGACACAAAATCTGAAGCCAGCTCCAGGCTCTGAGCTGTCAGCACAGAGCCCGATGTGGGGCTTGAACTCTCAGACCACATGATCATGACCTGAGCCAAAGTCAGATGCTTACCAACTGACCCAACCAGGTGCCCCTCTCCAACTCTTATTTTTAAATGTTAATGCACCCGAAACATCTCAATGCCCTCTGAACTTCGCTGCAATGAAGTCAAGGAAACATAGGGTCTTGAATGAGGATACAATTAATTAAATCCAATTTGTGAAATGAGAGTACCATTTGACAGTGTCTTGAATGCTTGCTACATACAGAATAGATCCTGTGTAAAGATGAAGCATGCATAATTTCTTCTTAAATTAAAAAAAAAAAAAACTTACCCAAAAGCAAAATATCTTTATACACCATGGATCTCTTTGTCGCTCCAAGCAGTAAATGTTCCCCTGCGTGAGCTCTCAACAGTGCCACCTTAATGAAAAATTTCAAGTTTAACAATTAATTATAAAATATAATGATTAAAAGATGGTATAATATGTATCTGATTAATTCAGTGCTCTTTAAGCCTGGGACCTTTTTTTTTGGTTTCAATAACTATAATATTCATAGATGCTTGCCATCATTAAGCCTTCTATTTTTCTATTTCAGCATGTCAATAGAGTTTTACTTTTTATAATTCTAAAGCTTAGAAGTTAATACAAACAAACAAAATAGATCTGGAGTGAAATAGAATCAAACAGAGTTCAAATGCTGCCTGGTCATACCTGTTGAATCTTAGATAAGTTAACCAGTATGTTTGGGACTCAATTGTTTTCATCTGTCAAATGGAGGTAGTGATAAAAATCTCAAAGGTAGTCATGAGGACCAAATAAGAAAACATATGTAAAAAACACTCTGTTATTACACATAATAGGCTGAATAAACAAAAGCAAAGCAAGGACTTGTGGGAAACTAAGAAGAGGATGGATAACCTCATTGCTGACACTTTGTAGACTGAAGCTAATTGCACTAAGCTTTCAACTGAACTTTATGCATATGCTCAACTACTTGCCATCACCTCTAGGAAGACTAAGAAGCATTCCAAATATAAAACATCAAAGTAATGTTTCTCCAATATCTTCATCATCTTACTAACTGGTCTGCTCATCCAAAATGCTTGTTCACGTCAGAATCCAAAGCCCATTTTGATTCCTTTCTAGTTGTACAGCAAATCCGGGTACTGCTTCTCCATAGCTACCACCCCAGCCCGAGCCTTTGCCATTCTTCATCTTGCCTGCCACAATGCGCTCCACAGAGCTAATAAGTTGATTCTTGCTTCCCTTCTGGTTCCTCCATCCTAAATCCTTCTTGACAGAGCTTCCCAGATAACTTTTGTGAAATAATAGTCACTTACTATCATCCCTCTCCTGAAAACTCCTCACTGGTTTCTAATTGCCTTTACAATAAAACCCAAGGTCGTTAACAATGGCCTCCCAGGTAACAGCACAATGGTTTGTCCTCCCCCGCTCCTTCCCCCCCCCTTCTCTGATCTCAGCTTATGATATCCCTTGTTCTCTTGTTCTCTTTTCTCTGCACTCATTATTTCAACTTGCCTCAGAGCCTTTGAACATGCTGTTCCTATCCCTGGAATGTCTTGTCCTCAGATGTTGGTATGTTTGGTCCCTTGTCATTCAGGTCTCAGGAAAAGTCACTGATCCCCAATTTAAAGTATGTCTTGCCATTCCAACACAGTCATTCTACAACTCCCCCCATTCCATTTTATAGAACTTATCCCCACCTAGAGTTAACTTACTCATAATCTGTATCTTTTTTATTGTCTGTCTCTCCCAAATAGAGTGCAGACTTTATGAGAATCATGATGAGTCTGTATTTTTACTGCCAGATCGTCACAGAACCTAAAATGGAACTGTAGTCCCAATAAATATTCGTTTGATGAATTTTCTGAGTGAATTTAACTGATCTAGGATCAGTTTTAAAAATTGTTAAGTGGAGATAATAACATTTATGTCAGAGGTCCTGAGGGGATTCAATAAAATAATGTAATATTTAATGCAACTGAAAGCTACTTCTCTAATGCCTTAACCACACTGGACATTTGCCCGTCCAAGGCTAGTAATGTTATATTGTTAGTATTCAAGCGTCATTTAGCAAATAAAAACCATTTTTGACAGGTTACTAGATTTTAATTTTCCAATTTTTAAATCATTGCCTTCACACATAAGTCAGCAACTTTTAAAGAGGAGTGATAATAAAAATATAAAACTGATAAATAATGTAACCTACTTATATGGCTTGGGGTGAGACACGTATGTTTTAGCAATTTAGCACTATTCACTCTGAAATAACCTTCTGAGCTTAGCTATCTTTATGACATGTCAATAACCATGACTCATACCAGGAAGGCAGTTACAGAACATTTTAAGAATGATTTCAGAATTCATAGTACTTTTTTATTTTTTTATCTTTTGGTCACCAGGATTTCACCTGTCCTAGAAATATAACTTCTGACTTCCTATGATCACTTTTTGTTCTGGTTGTATAAATATTTTGCCCTTCTCTGATTTTTAAACAATCAATATGCACCTTTCCCTTTAATTGTTTGTTTTTGTATATCAGTGATAAAGAACATGGCCAGAGGGTGTAAAACTATACACTGGGCATAACACATATCATGGTTTACTCAGTGTGGGGAATTAAAAATTTTCAAATTATATGCATCTACAAAATATTAGAAACTATTTAAATGGAGGCATTAAAAATGAATCTGAAGCTAATAATCTAATTTTCACAGACTAGGAAATTAAAATTCTTAACTATTCATTAAAATGTCTTAATGTATATATGACAAAATACCAAAATATATGTATTAGGAAAAGTTTGTTGTGTCTGAAATACTATTGAAATCTGTAGACTTCAGAGCATGATTCTAGAGATGTTTTTGCCGAACCCATATTTTTATACAGTAAATGCTAGGATAGAATTGACAAAATGAAAGGCAAAATTTTATGTTAATTGCATAGAGTTCCTACCAAGACACCAACACAACCTGTGAGGTTTCTGTCTAGGAGTGGCCTGGTATTTCCATGGAATTTTATATGGCGCCTTCCAAGATACACCAAGACACGAGAGTATACCTTTTCCCTCCCAGACATTTGTCTCACAATGGCAGTTACTTGCTATCCTGTTTTTCTTCTTCACTTAAGCTTTTTCAACTCCAAGAGGGAAGATCAGTGTCTTCCTCAACTTCACCCAATTAATAAATTTGCAAGACCCCTAACACAGAAGTTAAACAGTTGTGCCTCTTAATAGAACAAGGTGACTGGACAAGAAAGCCAATCTTTCCCTCACAAGATAATTTAACTTGTCAACTATGGTAAACCTATTTTAAATATAATTTAAAAAACACATAAACTGGGCAAAGTTCAAAAATCATTTCTGAAAGCATTCGTAAAATCTTTAACTTATACCTGGTCATCCAGCGGTAACTCACAGAAGGCGGGGATATATTTAGCCCATTCCACCAAGACTAAGAGCTGCTGCTTCATAGATTCGCAGACATCACTGATACTTGCAATTTTCTTAACATTTATGTCAGTGCTTGCTCCAGGGCTTGAGATTGAGATCTGGCATTAAGAAGATTACATTAATTTATCATTTCAAATAACACCTGAGTACCATTTCTCTTTTTTCTATGATTCCAATAAGTAAACCCCTTTGAAGTGGACACTATCATTGCCACAGTATCTTGAAATATATGAAACATTTTAAAATTGAGAAAAAAAAAATACCAACCAGTACAAGTTAAATTGAAAACATTCACTGCACAGTTCCATGGCTCTGGGAGCACTACCTTCTTTTACTGGCAAACCCATAAAATAAGTTACTCAACTTTCAGGGAGTTTCCTAATTCAAAATGACTATACAGGAAGATATGCAGTATTCACCTGAAATACACTCTGCGATTTTATTTTTAATTAAAAAATGATATTTCCACTAAGAAAGCCCACCTTTAACTTTTAAAAATATCCGAAGAAAACGTTTCCAGTGGATACAGTTTACCAAACTGAGGAGAAAAGATTTAGACGAGAAGCCAGAACTGCAGTAAATAAAAGCCCATCAACATAAAATTAAGAAACCAACTTTTGACTCAGCAACATTGAAAAGCTTAACATGGAATGAAAAAATTTTCAAACTATATATAATTTTGAACTATATAAAATATAAGTGGCTTCAAAATGCTTTTCTACTAAAGAAAATCTCTTTCTAAAAGTCCTTATAAACTTAATTTTTGAATATGTGTCTGCGTGGTATACATGTCTTTCTATGTGTATGTTTATTTCCTCACAGCTTCCCTTTAAACCATTTCATAAATGCTCTATACGACTATCAAGTAATCTTCAAATACTGATGATAATGGTGATGTTAGCTTCATCATACTACTCTCATGCTATTAAAAACGAAAGTAGTTGCACTGACTCGTTATAGGACCTGATTAATAGTTAGCTATTTCATAATTTGCTTTACAATAGAAAAATACCATTAACTTTTCTAATGCAGCAATGCCAAAATAAACTGTCTTCAAAAGGTTTCTTCATCTTAATTTTAAACGATTTATTTTTATGTATATAACTAATGACAGACATTTTTTAAACTTTGGAACTGATATTCTCATTCTAGAAGTTTAAAATAATAAACTCTTTCTCCATTGGCTTCTGAATTCTGGCTCTTCTCTTAAATACTTGTTTCCAAAGCTGATGCCAAGATGAGTTCTTGAGTCCAGAAACCATTTTCAAGGAAGCAAGCTCTGATGATAGGTCTCAACCAAACTCCCAAAAAGCCATAGTAACCAATTTTACAGATGTAATCAGTGAAACAAGACAGTGCCCCCAGAACACTGTGCTCCTCATTCAGAATTTTAAATCAACCTCATAAGCTAACTTTTATTAAACAATAGTGCACTGAAATGCATTTCGGTTTTTGTTTTTTTTCTGTTTAAAAACAGGAAGTTGTCCAGGGAAAGTCAAAATTAAGTCAACAGTCCACCTAATACTTTCAAAGTAAAACTGCAACTGATTTAAGTAGTGAGCACATGTAAAGGAACGTAGATTATTTTAGAATTATGCCTAAACAGACATTTGATTCTTTTAAACAGGATTGAGTACCGGTGTGCATTGCATACCTGGCGAGACCGAATTTCTGCCTGTGCCAGTGTGTTAATGGAGGGGATGTTGCTGCCATCAAATGTGCTCCTTCTGGTGCTTATTCGATCACGTTCATTTTGCACAGCTAGGGAAGAAAATCACAGTATTCACTGGTCAGTTCTCTTCAGTCCGCGTCAGGACATAAGTTTAAAGATTAAAACATAGTAATAAAAAGTAAAAATGGATATTTCTTAAAGACCGGGGAAGGGGTTAAGACAGAGGGGGAAGTATGACTGAAAATATGTTTCATTCTGTACTGCTTTTAAAAAAGTAGAAAGCCAGGCCTGTCAATAGAGCTCATAAAATACTGCCTTTTGAAACCTCATGGTTGCATGCGTGTCACAAAGTGTTGGGTCAGCCAGTTCAGCCACGCTGTATAACAGGATGACTTTCCATTCTCTCAAAGTTAATAAAACCATAAGATAAGTAGATGAAGAGTATCGCCATAAGATTGACCAAGTCAGAGAGTGTATCCACTGTTAGAAGATATGAGTCATAGATTTTGAAACTTCATATTCGTTTTTTTTTCCTTAAACACTAGCCAAAATGGAAATTAAATTTATTTAGTGAAGGTGAATTTAAGCTTGCAGTCTTATAATCTCTTGTGAAACCATGTCCTTGGGACAGTTTACTAACATTAATAAAGCAAAAATTGCAGCAAGGGGTCTCTCCCGAGAAGAATGAGGTTTTGAACATCAGCATTTTGGAAAGATGAAGACTTCTTAAGTATTATACAAAAAGCTTCTAAGAGAGAGCCAAATTCCTTATTGAAAACTACATTTTAAACATAAGCAAGAGTGAAGAAGGGAGTATTACCTTGTATACGTGTCATACAAAGAAAAATACAAGTCAAATATCAAAGTTAGTGTTTAAAACTTAGGAGATAAATTTATCTTCTGTTAACCAAAAAGAACAAGAACAAGGCCTATAGTCCTTAAATCTTTTTAGATCAATATGCTACTCTGTATTGCTGGAGAGCTAAGACATTAAACTATTAGAATTTTTTATGCAATTATTCTCCTTAATACTAAAGAGATTCATCAGTTCCTATGCCAAAATCTACTATCTACCCAAACGTACTATTAACCACCAACCCATTAATTTGGAAGAGAATATACTGGACTTTTGCCTTTAAGAGTGAGCAGTGTTTAAGTTGGCGTGAATCATTAATATTTTATTTTAAAATCATATTTACTGGTAGCTTACTCCTTTTTTTCTCCCACAGAAATTGTCATTGATTTGTAGCCCAGACTGACTCATGTGGAAATGCATATGTGGAGATAAAAAATTAAAATGTAAGCTATGATTTTATGAATTTCATTTACATGATCAACCCTTGGAAACATGCCAAAAGAAATTCTGAACATTTGTAATCTTCTTACTGCTATCATTTTTGACATAAAACCATGTTTATATATGTTTCCATCTAACTAACTTTGATATTATGCTATTACTGTAAATAAGAGAAATATATCTACTTTGAAACCCAAAAGCTACTTCCTAGTCTATTTAGGAAAAAAAAACAACAACAAGGCATTATTCTATGAGCAATAGAAGACATGATTTAACTATTTTTGAAAGTAATTTTATTTCAAAACCTGTACACTCTTAAAGGAAATACAGGATGGAGACTTGCTTATACTTTTGTAGGAGTAATGCTGGGGTTCATGTAGAAATAGGTGAAGTTGACTGACAGAGTATATAATTAATCCCATAAACTACTGAATATGCCATTAGAGATAAGTCATTTTGTAATGACAAAGTGCTTCTCCCTTAGTTCTGTACACTTTATTTTGCCTTTTTTTTTTGAGATTAGCAGTCTGAATGAAACTAATGGAATTTTTTGTCTCTTTAAAATATTGTGACAAAGAAAAAATGAGTTATGTTCAAGATAGGTATACTTCTGTAGTGTATTAACCGGATTTAATTTTTATGGTTTGTAAAATAGTTCTGAAAAATATTTCTTTGTCTATGATAGGCATAAGCCTGTGACAAAACTGAATAAGCACAAAATCTTGCAGAGGCTCATCCCAACAAATCCCCCAGATTTGTTTCTGAATTAACCATATTTAGGGGGCGTGCCTGGATGGCTCAGTCGGTTAAGCACTGGACTCTTGATCTCTGCTCAAGTCTATCTCACAGTTGGCGAGTTCAAGACCCATGTCGGGCTCTATGCTAAGGGAGGCTGCTTGGGGATTCTCTCTCTTTCCCTCTCCCTCTGCCACTCCCCCATTTGTGCTTGCTCTCGCTGTCTCTCTCTTCTCGAAATAAATAAATAAACATAAAAAATAAATAACCATATTTAGAATGTAGGATAGTATAATCAGATTATTTACTATGTTTGAAATGCAATTAATGCACACTAAAATAGAGTATCTACTCCATTGTCTCTGTTCCTCAGTAGAATGTAAGCTCCCTGAGAGGAAGGACTCTTTTTTTCTGTTATGTTCACCGCTGCAGCCTTAATGCCATGAACAATTTTTAGAAAGAAGTGCTCAATAAATATTTCTTAAATAAACAAATGAATGAGCAAAAAGCTCATGTTTAGTCAATGTTGATGAAATGAATATATTCAGTTGCTATTGACAATAAATATGTGTTTAAAAATACATTTGTAACTTCAACCTATTAATCAATTTTGACATTATCTTTGGAACGTGGTATTGGAATATTATTTAGATGATAATTTTGTTTCCAGGGATAAGACAGTAATAGAGATAATAGTTTCTAGAATCAGACAGTCATCAGAGACTAGGTGTCAGTGTTCTTGGGTAAATTCTTACACTCAAGGAATTATAGATTCTTCATTTAGGCAATTCAGAACACAAGTGAAAAGGTTATTGTGATTAAATGAAGATGTATATTTTTTAACGCTTTTGCTTAAATAATTGTCATTATTATACTATATATTATTACCTTCTTTTTTCATTCCTGCTCTAAAACACTTTCTTAATCGACAATATCTACATTGATTCCTTTTGTCCTTGTCAACAACACATTGCCGACTGAACCTATAACATCAAACAAAGAAAGATTAGCTTGCAACTATTTATTTATTCAAAAAACACACAAATAAACAGATAAATAAAACTTGAATAAGTATGGTCAAGTGTGGCCCAAAAGGAAGAATGTATAAGAACAATTACCTGCGACATTTCCAGTCAGTGATCAGCATGTGCATGGAAATGCCCATCAGCTGATGAATAGATCAATAAAATGTGGAAATAAAGGCCTCACCTCTCATGCAGTCTTTACAGTAAAATAAAACCGAATGATATCTCACTTCTCCCCAGTATACATTACCACTTCAATCATGAGTCATGAAAGCCAAATCTGGTTTAAAAATCTTTGACATGTGAATTCTAATTGCTTATTACTAAATGGTTTCAGTGTAATGGAGAATATATCAGGACTTCATTCCTCTGCTCCTTTCATGCTTTGCTCTCTTTAAATATTTTCCTATTAATTTTAAATGTGCCTCACATGCAATTGAAATTGCTCTAACTGTTCAGTTACATAACCAGAGGCACAGCATTGAGCGTAGTCTCTGTATAATTGGGTACTACCTCACACTCACTAAAATGGCTATAATCAGGGGGAAAAAAACGAAAAAACAGACAATAACAAGTGTTGATGAAGATGTGGGGAAAACTGGAGCCCTCATACTTTGCTTTTTTTTTTTAATACATTGCTTTTTGTAATATAAAATGATGGAGCTGCTTGGGAAGAAAGTTGGGTAGTTTTTTGAGAAAAGTTAAACGTTAGAGTTACTCTATGACCCAGCAATTACACTCCTGGGTATATACACAAAAGAATGAAAGCATATGTTCACACAAAAACTTGTACATAAATGTCCACACCACCATTATTCATAATAGCCAAAGTGCAGGGACAGACCAAATGCCCATCAGCCGATGAACAGATCAATAAAATGTGGTACACAGACACGATACCTATTATTGTTTGGCAATAAACAGGAATGGAAGACTGATGTATGTTACAACACAGATGAACTTTGAAAACACTATGCTAAGAGAAAGAAGTCAGACACAAAGGCTACATATTACACCCAGGCATACCTGAGACAGACTACTGTTTCATACCACCACAATAAAGCAAGTATCATAATAAAGTGAGTCAAATGAAATTTCTTGCTTTCCCAGTGCATATAAGAGTTATGTTTACACTATACTGTAGTCTGTAAAGTGTGCCACAGCCTTGTCTAAAATAGCGATGTAGTACCTTAATTAACAATACTTTATTGCTGAGGCGCCTCGGTGGCTCAGTCGGTTAGGCGACTGACTCTTGATTTCAGCCAAGGTTGTGATCTCATGATCCGTGAGATTGAGCCCCGCATCAGGCTCTGCACTGACAGTGTGGAGCCTGCTTGGGACTCTCTCTTTCCCTCTCTCTCTGCCCTTCTCCCACTCGCACTCTCTCTTCCTCTCAAATAAATAAACCTAAAAAAAAAATACTTTATTGATAAACGCTGCTAAGCATTATCTGAACTTTCAATGAGTTGTAATCACTGATCACCATAACAAATGTAATAATCATGAAAAAGTTTGAAATATTGTGAGGAATTACCCAAATGCGACACACAGACACAAAGTTGGGAAAATGGTGCCAACAGACTTACTCAACACAGGGTTGCCACAAACCTTCGATTTGTAAAAAACACAATATCTGTGTAGCACAATACAGTGAGGTGTGTCTGTAATTTAATTTAGATCAAATGTCCAGAAAAGGCAAATCTATACAAATAGAAAGTGGATTAGTAGTTGCCTATCATTGGAGAGGAGGGAGTTAGGGAAATGGGGGGGGCGGTGTGACTGCTGAAGGGTATATCGTCTCTTTGCATGGTGACAAAAAAAAAGTGTTCTAAGTTGGTTGAAGTGATGGTTACACAACTCTGGGAACATACTCAAAACTGTGTTGTACACTTGAAAAAAAGAGAAAAATACAGTCTCTGGAATTAGATGTGAGCTTGATTCTCAGGTCCATCATTCACTCTCTTTTTTTTTCTTTAAGTTTATTTATTTATTTTGAGAGAGAGACAGAGATAGTGAGTGGAAGAGGAACAGAGAAAGAGGGAGAGAGAATCCCAAGCAGGCTCTGTGCTGTCAGCATAGAGACCGACCCAGGGCTCGAACTCACAAACAGTGAGACCATGACCTGAGCTGAACCAAGAGTCGGACGCTCAACCGACTGAACCACCCATGTGCTCTTGGTAGGACTTGGGGATATTATTTAACATTCCCAAATTAATTTACAGTTGTCCAATAGGAAGGAGCTGCAGTAAAAAGTTGTTGTGAGAAGGTATTTTTAAGGCTTTGGGGCAAATATCAATCATATAGTAAAATAACGTTTTCTAATAATAATAACAAAATGATAAAATAATAACAAAATTCTATCATAAAATTGCCCACATGTATTGGTATATTACTGATTATTTGTGGCTGATTATTAATGATGGGAATAAAAGAACTATTTTGTGATCAATAAAAGAAGATATTGCTTCTGAAAATGATGGGTAGCTACTTTAAACCGAATGAATATAAAGCCTACTATAAATGAATTGAGTCAGAAGAGAGATATTTTCAGAGTGAGAAGAAAAGAATTGTTCACTTGGGAATGCATGGCTGAGGAGGCTTCAGGAGAGGGAACTGGATTAGCAATAAATACAAGAGGAAAACACACCCAATTAACATTAGTGAAAAAATTGAATAAACATTTTTATTAAACACCTGTACAAGATTCTGGTGTAGAGAGTTTAAAAAAAGGAATATTACCTGTCTCCTCTATTCAGGGAAACTAGAGTCTAACAGAGTATACATACAAATTTGCAAACAGCCATAATAAAACAAAACAAAAAATTAAAAAAAAAAAACCAAAACAACCATAATGTGAGAAGTATTGAAACAGTAATTTAAAGTGCTTTGGGAGGGGGGGAGTGCCTGAATGGTTCAGTCGGTTAAGCATCTGATTCTTGATCTACCTCAAGTCTTGACCTCAGGGTTGTGAGTTCAAGCCCATATTGGGCTCCATGCTGGACGTGGAGCCTAATTAAAAAACAAAACAAAACAGGGGTGCCTGGGTGGCTCAGTCAGTTAAGCCTCTGACTTCGGCTCAGGTCATGATCTTGCAGTTTGTAAGCATGAGCCCCGCGTTGGGCTCTGTGCTGACAGCTCAGAGCCTGGATCCTGCTTCAGATTCTGTTTTTCTGTCTCTGCCCCTCCCTCGTTCACACACTCTCTCTCTCTCAAAATAAATAAACATTTATACACACACACACACACACCCATATATATATACAAAACAAAACAAAAACAAAGTGCTTTGGGAGGGAAAGCCCAACTTTAATGTAAGGAAGAGTTAAGAGTGGAAATGAAATTTTCACATCTGAGGAAATGGATAAATTTGAGACCAGCAAAATCTGAGCTTAAGAAACCTTCATGGTCCTACACTTTCATCATTATAATAATAACTATTTTCCAAATGGAAAATCATAGCATTTGCTTAATGCCAAAATATGTAAAGAAGGCTAAGTTGGCAGCAATACTCATGTTGGGAAGGTGTGAGGAGTTAAACTCTATATGTGGTGGGAATATTTTTTTAAATTCCAAAAGTTGCTACGGGAACACTCCTTTCTCACTTTTCCCGTCCAATAAGGGAGGGAATCTTGGAAGCCCGTGGTGCTGATGTTCTTTGATTCCTACAAGTCTGTTGGATCACACCATTTTTCATATGTATGTATTACACCTTTAACAGAACACATGACTCAAAATATATTGTAATTTTGATTACAATACGTGTAATTTTGTATTTATTTTAGCTGTTAATTTTGTAAAAGCACTCAATATTTAATGTAATCAGAGGAAAACATTTTAACGAAGGAAATTTACTTGGTCTACTTTTTACCTCTAGAGTTTTAAATATATAAAAGCAAGAGTCATCTAACTATGTATACATTTTTGTTTATCAAGAAGATTTTAAAGTAGGGTATTCACATTTTTTAAACCAACTTTAAGCCCTCCTGGAAAAATTACGGGAGGATACTAGTTGGCTATTCAGAGAGTTATTAACTTTTTCCAGATCCCTAGAAATCAGGTTGCACCATATTGTGAGAGAGTTAATTTTTTCCTAAAGGTCTAATTTTTCCTAAAGTAACATAGCTTTTCTATACAAGCTTTTCATCAACAGAGCAAGCATTGATATTTTTCTCTTACCATCAGCCATTCTTTAATAGTTCACATTTAAGAGACCTAATCTGCACTCAAGAACTGTCATTCTTGGGGTGCATGCATGGCTTAGTGGGTTAACCACGGCCGACGTCAGCCCAGGTCATGACCTCACAGTTTGTGGGTTTGAGCCCCACATTAGGCTCTGTGCTGACAGCTCAGAGCCTGGAGCTTGCTTCAGAGTCTGTGTCTCCCTTTCTCTCTCGCCACCCCTCCCCAGTTTGTGCTCCCTCTTTCTCTCTCAAGAATAAATAATAAACATTAAAAAAAAAAAAAGAACTGTCATTCTGAACACTCAAGGTGGAACATCTAACCCTAACTTGTACTATGATGTTAACTAGATATTATTTTTTTAAAGGCCTACTAGAAATATGTGACATACACAGTACAGTTAAATATGTTTTAGACAAAACATTAAATTCAATGGCAAAATTGTGGCATGACAAATATATTTAAAATTTTGGGACTGAAAATTTAATTTCATTCACTGACATCAACAAACTACCAAAATCATCTGCGCTTTTGTAATTTTGTTTTAAAAGACTCAGGCTGTGAGATGTTGAAAATAAAATTATTACGCAGAAAAATACACAGATTGGGAATCCATTTAAATATAGATTTAAATATGTCTATTGGTACGTGAACATGTGGTAAAACAATAAAGAAACACAAAGAAAAGCCAAACACCAAATTTCAGACAGTAGTCACCTCTGGGAGAGAGGAAAGAAAGAGAAAGTGATAGGGGAGGTGGGTTCACTAGATGCTTCAACTATATTGATCTAGGTTGGGTGGTAAGTATGTGGGTTTTTTTAATACATTTGTGTCTAAAATGTTTCATAAAAAAAATCCACGCTGTAGGAATGCATCCTGCATAGGCACCCACATATCCTCTTAATGAATTCTTAAAAAAAATTTTTTTTAATGTTTTGTTTATTTTGAGACAGAAAGAGAGAGAGACAGAGTAGGAGCAGGGGAGGGGCAGAGACAGAGGGAGACGCAGAATCCGAAGCAGGCTCCAGGCTCCGAGCTGTCAGCACAGAGCCTGACACGGAGCTCGAACTCACGGACCACGAGATCATGACCTGAGCCGAAGTCGGACGCTTAACCAACTGAGTCACCCAGGCGCCCCAAGGATTCTTTTTTTTTTAATGTTCATTTATTTTTGTGGGAGAGAGAGAGCATGGGAGCATGCACGTGCATGAATGGGGGAGGGGCAGAGAGAGGGAGACAGAGGATCTGAGGCTGGCTCTGTGATGACAGCAGAGATCCCAATGCAGGGCTGGAATTCATGAACCATGAGATCATGACGGTGAAATCAAGAGTCAGAAGCTTAACAACTGAGCCACTCAGGTGCCCCCACATATTACTCTTAATGTAGCTTACAGATTTTGTTTGTAGAGTTACAGAAATATGAAAGGACTCATCTGCTTCCCTTACTTCTTGCACACCATTTTGAAACGCCTCTAAAGATAACTTTCTTAAAGGGAGCATCTCAAGTACCTGCAGGAATAAACGTGACTCTTGCGTATGCTGCGTCTGAAGAAGCCCTTGCACCCATCACAGCTTGATGCTCCATAATGCTTTCCTGTCGCTCTGTCCCCACATATAGCACATAGACAGTTGACACCATTGTCTGTGGTATTCATACTTGTTGTCTCTGGAGCAGAGCTCTCTGTTGAAGAAAAAGCAGAGTAGCCTTCAAGTTAATACTAAGTATTTCTTTGTTTAAATTACCCTACTAATGATTCACAGGCTCAAAATAGTCCATTCCTTGGCTTCTTGGAGTGCACCAGGGGTGTCCTTTTAACTGCTGACCACTTCTGCCAGTCTCCATTCCAGTTTCCCTTCTCATATTTCTGCACATTAAGCTTTGGGATACCAGAGGTCTCAGTCCCCCCAAATATACTCTTTCCCAAGGAAAGCTCATCCAGTCACATGATGTCAAATATGTGTATGATGAAAAATCCCCAGATTTTATCTCTAGCCTTGATGCCTTCTGTGAGTATCAGTCTGAAATGCCCAAATACCTACTTAACAACTTCACTTTGAAGTTTAATAGGAATTGCAAATTAATGTATCAAAAAGAGAACTCTTTATTTTTCCCCTGAACTTGTTCTTTTTCAGTCTTCCTTATGTCAGTTAATGGTACCCAGTACTTGGGATCAATGACATGGTAGTCTTCATTGGATTCTCTCCTTCATTGTTCGTATCCAATCTAATAGTAAGTCCGTGTTTGGAACACATATCAAATCCACAACTTTTCGTCCTTTCACCAAGGCAAGTCGTAAGCGATCGACTATCATCCTTCACTTGGATTACTGCAATAATAGCCTCTTATCTAATTTTTCTATTTCCACCCTTGCTCCCTCCTCTACTGTTTATTACCCGAAAGTGCTCTTGGAATGAGAAATTTGCCTCCTATTAGCCTTCTGCACCGAACCCTCAGAAACAGAATAAAGTTTATACATCATGTAAAGCCCTGCATGGTAAAGCCCCCTCCTACCTCTCTGATCCCATTCCTTGGTACTACTTTTCATCCTGTTCGCTGTTCTCCAACAATGTTGCCTTTTTTACTCCCTTGAAGTCTGTTCCCATCTCAGTCTTTACATTTGCTGTTCCTTCTGCCGCCAAGAAACGTTCTTCCCCAAGGATGTCTGTGAGCTGCTCCAATCTCACACTTTTCTGTGAAATAGTCTCTGAACACCCATCTAAAAGAGTTAGCTCTAATCTGCCCTTCAAGTAGAATCTAGAACCATGCTTATTTTTTTAAATAGCTGCTTCATTTTTTAAAACTATATTACGTATGGGTCTGTTCATTTATCGCCCCTCTTTAACTACAGAATATAAACTTCATGATGTTAGAGAATGCAGATCTGTTGTAGGCACACACCCCCGTCTTCCAGCTCAGAACTGTGCCTGGTGTAAAGTGAACATTTAATGCATAGTTTTGAAGGAAAAGACTTAAAAACCTCCACATAAGTGTTTTCATTTAAGTATTTCTTAATAAACCAACATAAAATTGTATGAAAATATCAACATAGTAACAGCTCATTATATTTTGAATATAACAAAAGGTAAAATTAAAGGTTGTGACATCCGATTATATTCTGTGAAAATACATATATTCTACTTACTGATACTTTTGAGTAGAAAGACATTACCATATATAATTTCACCAAGTTAAGAAAAACCTCAATGGGAATAGGTTTAAGGGTTAATCATGTGGCATTACAGAGTTTAAATCTAGGAACTTTTCTTTTGGTAACATAAATAAAAGAGCCATTAGGAATATGGCAGCTAGAAGTATCAGGATTGATTATATTCTAGGAAGCTTTTGGAAGTAGGAAAAAATTCAACTCTTGTTTCCAGTTTAATGCTATACTTAATATATTGTTAACAACATTATTCTAAAACAAACAACATAGACAACACTTGGAAAAGTCAGTAGTGTTAAATATTTAGGGTAAACCTGCCCTTACTATTTAGTAATCTATAGTCTTTTAAAAAAAAATCATGATTAATCTGACAAACCCATTATTAAATGTCTCTAATCAAATCTAAACATAAGGAAGAAAAATAGTGACTTCCTAAGATTTGAACCTAAGATTACATGTTCTTTTTAATTCTCTTTGTGCTAAAATTTCAGAATTCCTTTTCTGGTGGTTTAAAAAAAAATTTCCCACTAATAAACTATTGTTTATTTAAATATAGCAAGAATAGCAGTTGTAAACTTGAGGAGCATAGCAGAACATTACCATATCCTGAGTACAAGATACATTCTCAATCCTGAAGTACACACACACACACACACACACACACACACACACACACCCCTTTCAAAGTATACATAATCACCGGATTTTAGTAGTTCTAACAATTACAGCTAATCTTGGACAAGATTTTTACTTGAGTTAAAGTCTAAATACAAAGTCAACAGTAAATTGTTGTATTTATTATTCAAATCCGCGAACTCTAGACAATTCATGCCTTCTTTAAAGTTAAAATGTTACAGTAGATAAATACCAAGGGCTCTGTGAGGCTAAACATTAGCCTGTCAAGTAGTAAGGTTATAATATAAGCCTTTATTTCCTTTCATATTGTGTTCGGTGTTAACACTTGATAGTCATTTTAAATGTAGTTTCTCATCAGTAGTCACTGAGAACTGAAATGACAGGGGGAGGCAGCCAGTAAAGCCTCCCGCCTTCCGTATGTCATTTTAAATACTGCATAGAAAATGTACTTCACAGCCAATCTGCCAATATTACCTACTGCTGTGATTTACAGTAAATAAAGTAATGCTGAAACTGTTCTTTTTACTCTGACAGGCCCATGACAGAATTCTGAGGTCACTTTATTACACATAGCTTGACTCTTTAAAAGCCTCCACATAAAATGGCCATAGCATTCTTAATTTAAATTTTGTGATGAAATGCAAAAGCTCAGATCTGTGGTCTTAAAAAACAAGCTCCGAATTCTTCAGCAATAAAACTCAGAGCTACCTCCTGAGCGGTAGCTCACTTTTAACCCTCCCGTTATACCTACTTTTCTCTAGATCTACAAGCAGATGAGAACTCACCGTTTGAATTATATAGAATCTGCATAGTTTCAAACTCCAAGGTTGTATACGTTGGGTCCAAAACTTCACTGTAATTTGCCATATCCATGTCCAGTATTGGTTCCGATACCCTCATCATTGACTTAGGAACACACATACAAGTGGCGCCACAGGCCAGCGTGTGTGATGGCTGTTGGGCTTTCAATCTGTGAGTGATAATCCAAAGTTAACTGTAACTGAGTGACTTATGCACTGCCGTGGGAGGAGCTGTAAAACTGTAAACTCCTCAGCAGGCCATATTCTGCTCATTTCTTTCTCTTTTATGGCACACGAAAGCAATTCCTTGTGATAATCTTGGAATGCTTCGTGGAATCACCTTATCTGAAGTGCTTAGTGGACTAACATGATTTCCTAAATTGATTCCCAGTAGACAATAAATGATGTCATTAAGTAGTTAAAAATAGAAAAGAGAATCTCTCAGTCTTCAACAATTTATAACAGGATTTATCCCAGGTAAGGGGCTGAAATCACATACCACGGATTCTAAAAGATGGGACTTTACTGTGTCAAGACTATAAGTTAACACTTAACATAAGCTCTTAATTTCAAATTTTTTTACTGTACAATAGAGCCAACTGTGTTTATGTTGTAATTTGAAGTGACAGGGATTTATGATATGCTCAGTAGCAGCCTGGGCATTACCCTAATATGGTTTAACATATCCTCCTTCACTATCTACTTATGAATCTGTGTCCTTTGAATGTTTGTAAACTGCCCAAGGACAGAACTAGTAAAGTTGCTAGTATATTGTGGGCATTCTGTGACTAAGAGCTACATGTTTAAGGTATCATTTCTTCTGACTTCTGACAGCTATTACATTCTAAGCCTTACACGGAAATAAACCTATCCTTAACGTGTGCGTCTACACATTCCCATCATCCACCTTCTAATATCTAGCATCCACATGGCACACTATAACTTTTGCAAGCACATGTGACAAGGAGCATTTAGAATTCAGGGAACATTTAGAAGATCCTAGCCAATGATTATATTTTACTTCTGAGAATACGTCTATTGATTTTATCTTCCAAGAAAGAATTCCAGCCACATTTACATTATAAACACAGAATGTCATTTCCTACATTTGTTAAAGATTCCTGCAAAGTAGTATTTCTTATTCAATTTCTTAATACAATAAACCTTGTGAATATTGCATCTTAAAAATTATTATCTTTTCCTCTGGGAAGGCTGGCCTCTTAAACTCGAAACTATGTGAAGCATTTGTTGATGAAAACAACAGAGTCACGTTAGCAACCAAATTCATTAAATCAAACAGCAATCACTGGAATTGTCTACTTGCCTTCATATTCTGTAGCACTCTTAATTGTGAGGATGATATCTGAGGGATACATTTAAGTGACTGAGTCTCTTTAGTAAGAGCTATTGGTAGTTATTCAGTTTTTGGAGAAGTGGACAGCAAGCGAATCCCGTGGTTTTCATTCTCATGAGGCAGTTCCCACTTGTGGTGAAGTAACACAGACATGTTTCCTGTGTCAACCAAAGCAGTGAACTGTGCATAGCCCACCATCTTTCCCATCTATGTAGTAACTAAACAACGATGAGGAATGTCACCCGTGAAAGTGTACCGACAGAAGGAAAAGAAGAAAAGAAAAAGGTAGAGAGTTATTCATATATAAGATTCAAATCACTAAAAGAAATGTGACTACAGCTCAGGAAAACAATACTATCATAATTTATTGTTCTACTCCATCTTGTGCCTAGGGGTGCCGTCGCTATTGGATCAGTGCTATTTCCTCAAAGGGGAAAGGAGCTACACATTCATCTCAGCACAGATCCTCAAGTAGTCACTAGCAATTAATCAGAGCTAGCTTTCAAGATGAAACCTGTTTCTCATCCATGTTATTGTAAATCATTTTCTTCATTTTATAGAGTAAAAACTTGAGAATTTCCAGAAAATATAGCAGATTCAAATAGCAAGCATATCTCCTCAAATAGGCAGTTTGTCTTCCTAATGATATTCAGATGTGGAAACACCCACAGAGTCCAGTCAGCCTCAGTCTAGTAAAGGACAGACTCTCTTTAGGTTTTTTTTTTTTTTTGTTTGCTTTTTTTGTTTTGTTATTCTCAAAGAAATCACAAAGTACAGAAGTCTTCTTTTCTTCAATGCGAGGATTGGTAACTGGATGGCAAATAAAATAATTAAAACAGAATTGTGAAAATGGCTATCCATACTTAATAGCATATTTGACTTGAATATGTAAATTGCTCTTTTCAACACATTTTTACATTTTTAAAATGTTTATTTATTTTCAGAGAGAGAGAAAGAGCGTGCGAACAGGGGAGGGGCAGAGAGAAAGAATCCTAAGCAGGCTGTGAGCTGTCAGTGGAGATAATGTGAGGTCATAAGATCATGACCTGAGCCAAAATCAAGACTTGTACACTTAACCGACTGAGCCACCCAAGCTCCCCTAAATTGCTAGTGTTTTGTTGGAAAACCAAGAGTTTTTGTCTGAATAAGAACCCACTGCTTGTGATTCTTTATTAATTTTTTGTTTGTATAAATCTCATACACTGTCTTTGATGTCTAGTTTTTGTCTTAATGGAGGAAAAAAGTCAAAGCTATATGTAAACACTAAGTGCAGAAGCCTTTTAGAATTTTATACTTTTTCAAAATATTTTATATGTTTTAATCAACTTGCTTTTATCCACTTCCAAAGTATTTCCCTAGGTTTTTATTGGGGAAAAAAATCTCTTTTTAATACTCACGTTTCATCAGATTATGCAATGTTTAACTAAAGCATGATGAAATAATAAGCATAAATGATATAACCATGCTATGTAACAAATACAGTTGACCTTTGATAACTATATATAGTTGGAGAGATGGTCAGGGAACATTGCAACACTCTTCACAACAGCCAAGGTGGAGACAATAGAAATGTCCATTACTGGATGGATGGATAAAGAAAGTATGCTATACAATAAAATACCATTCAGCCTCAAAAAGGAATAAAAAAGTATTGATGCATACTACACCAAGGATACACCTTAAGAACATTATGCTAGGTAAAATAAACCAGTCACAGAAAGGCAGGGACTACATGATTACACTAATATAAGAAATCTAGAGTCAAACTCATAGATTTAAAAAAATGAATGGTGGTTGCCAGGGACCAGGGAAGGGAGAAATGGGGAGTTGATAATAAAAGAGTATAAAATTCCAGCTAAGCAAGATGAATAAACTATAGATAATCTGCTGTACAACATTGCGACTGTCAATAACATTGTACACTTAACAATTTGTTAAAAGAGTAGATCTCATGTTAAGTGTTCTTAGTAAAATAAAATAAAACAGATTTATGAAAAAAATCTAAACTACATCATGGGAAAAAGATCAACCTTATTAGCAATTAGAAAAATGTAAGATAAAACAATGCTATTAAAACAAACAAAAAAGTGTCTACTACTTAAGGAAGTTAGCCCATCCTAGAAACTAATTAGTGTGTTCCACAAAGGAAGTTGAAAACCTGAGTTAACTCAGGGAGTTGGCTAAATGGAGATTAAAGTTTTTGTCGTATTGACTTTAACATGAGATAACTTGTTAAGTAATTTCTATTCCTCCTTATGACCAATCCCTTTTCTCTACTTCTAAAATTAATTAGGCTAAATTCAGAATATTTTTATTTGCTTAAGAAGAACAGGGAAGGACAATCAGATGGATGAGAAAGAAAAGAAAAAAAAAGAAAAAGAAGAAAGTGTCACAGAGAAACATTTAGTCTTGGTTACTTTTAGACTTTTAATTATGCATCACAATCTAAGCAAGTATCACATTCTTTAGTATTTTTTGTGTTTTCCACTCAATAGTGATTGTGGAATTTTCATAATTCAGTAAATGTGATTTTTGGAAACACATCCATGGCATAATTGAACAAAATAAAACATAATTTAATTGTATAAACTTTAGATACATAAAACAGTTATGGTATTTGTATATTTTCACATTAAAATTCATTTATTTTCAGGAAAAAGACAAATGGACATCATACAGGGAGTCTTTCATTCTTGTTTCCCCAAGCCCTTCTTATGGGTAACATTCATTAAGGCTACATTAGATTAAAAGCTTAAATCGTTATTAAAAAACTATATTAATTTTATGTCTAGGTGGCATAGAAACAATTATCCTACATAAATGGGTTTAGTAACCCTATATTCAGCATAAATTTATGAGTACTTTCAAGCTTACTTTTAAAGGTTTAATTGGGGAAAACATCAAATATTCATGCTAATTCCTAAGGCAGTAATTTAGAGTAAGTAGCATACATTTTCTAAAGTAGAAATATATTAACTTAATCTAGGCCTAAAAATATAAATATATATGGTAAACTATGACCTACTGAAAATCTCTCTTAACAGAGGTCACTTTGTAGTAACGTTCTATAAGCTGAGCAAAATGTTACTGTTCTTTAGTGCGATATCATGGTTTGTAGGCAAAGATGGACCTTCTTAGTCCTAGTCAAGGCAAATACCCCAGACGGAAAGAGAATATTACTTGTAGCTAAAAGGTCGATTTTAAAAAGCACAACTAATGTTCTTGAGAAAGGTTTCTCTCTTAGCAATGGTTTTCTAAACTGACATATGAAATATGGTATTTAAATTTCTTTAGAGCAACATAACGAGATGAAAACTACAGGGCGTTTAAAGGAGTGTTATGCTAAGTGAAATAAGTCACACAGAGAAAGACAGATACCATATGTTTTCACTCTTATGTGGATCCTGAGAAACTTAACAGAAGACCATGGGGCAGGGGAAGGAAAAAAAAAAAAGAGAGAGGGAGGGAGCCAAACCATAAAAGACTCTTAAAAACTGAGAATAAACTGAGGGTTGATGGGGGGTGGGAGGGAGGGGTGGATGGGTGATAGGCATTGAGGAGGGCACCTGTTGGGATGAGCACTGGGTGTTACATGGAAACCAGTTTGACAATAAATTTCATATTAAAAAAAAAAAAGAAGAAGACATCAACTCAATTCACTATTGACTCAAGATACTAGTAGAAACATTTCTATCTTATCTGGAAGACTATTAAGCCTGTTAAATTGTTCTATACTTCATATTTGATTTAATCATCCCTTCATAGCA